CCCCCTGAAGTAGGTCCTTCCAAAGAATGGGTTAGTTGTAGTATAGTTGTCGTAGCCCGTGAAGGTTATGTACATGTCCTCAGAATCAAGATTCCATGATGTTGCAGTGTCTGACAAGTTGTGTAAGAATGGTATATATACCGACTGGGTTTTGAGGGACTGATTACCTCATCTTCGTATATAGTTCTACTTTTTCAAGTTATGTCCTAGAATTTGTATTGATAAAGCCACTGGATGGCGAAACGTCTACAATAAAGATACCCAGATTTTTGCACATGTGTCTTAATTTCATCTGTGGGTATTGTATACCATTCTTACAAAACCCTTGTCAGATACTGCAACATCAGGGGATCTTGATTCTGGGGACATATACAAACCTTCACGACTACGACAACTACTACTACAACTAACCCATCTCTTTGGAAGGACCACTTCCACGGGGAATCCCGCCTACCAGTGACTATGCCCTCATCTGCTACACCTGACGTTACTATATAAGCGCCAGGCTCCTTTCTTCTGCTTCAGAATCTCCACGACTATGGTGCTCTTCGCACCTACTCCTAGGTTGAGGGACTGATTACCTCATCTTCTGTAAATAGTTCTACTGTCTTCATGTTATGTCCTTGAATTTGTATTGATAAAGCCACTGGATGGCGAAACGTCTACAATAAAGATAACCAGATGTTGCACATGTGTCTTAATTTCATCTTGTCGGTATTATATACCATTCTTACATGCAAACCCCTCAACGATATCGTCATTCCTGCCGTTTTGGCCACCCAGCATATTAATGCAGATTAAAATGTGTTCAATTCGTAAAAATATTAATCACAATGGTTTATTCTGAGAGTGTTTTCCTCCTTGCTCTTAAATATTAAGACAGACATCTCTCTTATTCACGATAATGACCTGTTATTTAGAATCGTGAAATCCGTTTCATTAAGAAAGACATACAGTAAAGGTCTCTAACATAGTTACGTCTGTATACGACCTTTTTTTTAGGGTATCACATCAAACACTCACTTTCTCAACTTTAGCCAGACCACTTGAACATCTACTTCAGCACCAAATCCAGAACTTCAAAAGCGTTAAGGAACTTTCTCCACCTAAAAGCAATCAACCCAGACATCCCCACCTCCCCTCTGTTCTAGTTTCTAAGTAATTTACCACCTCCGATTTTCATCCTTTTAACATACTTGGTAATGACGGAGATAATAGCCCT